GCTTATAACAGTCCTGGAACAATCATTGTAAATATCGTCATCTGCTTAGGTAAGAGCTGTCATTAACAGATGGACACATGAAGAAAACAAGGTGAATTCTACGAGGGAGACTCAGTCACCCACTCACTCTCCACCATGTTCTAAAAGACAACACTGTGGCAGGCGCTGGGCTGGGCAGGGAGAAGTGCCACAGAGGAGATTCCTGTCCTCAACAAGGGGAAGGGAACTGGCACTCCAGGGCACATACTAGGTGTCAGAGACTGCAGTAGAAAACGATTTCAAGGGCCGGGCAGGGTGGCTCACACCTGTAATCCCAGCACTTTGAGAGGCCAAAGCCAGCAGACCCCTTAAGGTCAGGAGTTCAAGACCAGCCTGGCCAACATGGTGAAACCCCCATCTCTACTAAAAATACAAAAATTAGCCAGGTGTGGTGGCACGCACCTGTGATCCCAGTTACTCCTAAGACTGAGGCAGGAGAATCACTTGAATCCAGGAGCTGGAGGTTGTAGTGAGCCAGTATCGCACCACTGCACTCCAGCCTGGGCAACAAAGCGCCTCGAGACTCCGTCTCAAAACATGAAACAAGAAAATGATTTCGTTTGCTTCTCTTATCAGCAAAGTGCTACGTGTCCAGATGAAGGAGCTGAGGCTGACAGCCAGGAAAGGGGCTGTGGGGACCACCAGTTAGGAAGGGCAGCAGGGAGGACTGTGGCTCCCCAGCATGTGGCACCTGAGCCGGTTCGCTCTCCTCTATCCTTGCCACACATCCAGCGGGTGGGAAGGCCACACAGCACACAACCAGGCCCGCAGTAGGCATTCAAGAAACTTCTGTCCAACCAAACCGAACGGGACGCCTTCTTCAGGTGTCCCGGGCAGTCAATTCAAAGCTGCTGGAGCCAGGCCAGGGCCTGTCCTAGAGAATGGTTCAGATAGAAACGCCCCTGGGAGGTGAACCTCACCCCAGGAGAGCCTGCAACACCCTGACACCCACCGCCTCGCCACCGGTACCCCCAATGAAATGGCGAGGCTAAGGTTCTGTGGCGACCTAACAGTCTTGGTCCGGGCTTATAAACTTGGAAAGTCTAAAGACGCATTCTTGAGTACCAACATATGTGGCGAAAGAAGGAACCTCTTAAAATTACATGACCAAAGGCAGGTGTTACGTAGCAAGTTCTCAACCGGGAGTAGTCCGCTAAAATTTATAAATTAAAAATACGAGAGTGCAGGGGAAGGGACGAGCGCCCGCGGACACCCTCCCGGGGAGGACGGGCACACAGGCCCGGGGGACAAGGAGGCCAGGGTCGGGGTGGGGCTGCGTCTCCCCGCTCTTCCTCCCGGCAGAACTCGCCCCCCTCACCTGCAGGATCGTCCTAAGTGCGCACGAAACCCTCCCCTGTTCCCAGGGAGCTGGGGCGGGCGCGAGGCCGCGAGCAGGTGCGCCTGTCCCCAGTTCCTGCTCGGCGGGGCAGCCGGGCCCGGGGGTCTCGAGGGGCCGGGCCGGGGGTCCCAGGGGCCGGGACCGCAGTTGCCGGGCGACCGTAGGGGCAGGCGCAGCGGCCGCGGGACCCGGGCCCAGGCCCCAGGCCCGGCCGGAACTTTCCACCCAAAGTTTCCCCGGGGCGCCGAGCTGCGGCCTACGTCGGGCGCGCCTCCCCGTGGGGGTCGAGGCCGGGGCCGGGGCTGGAGGCGGCCTGCGGGCCCGGGCCCTTCCCGGCCCGCCCTCTCCTCCCCGCCCCAGCCCGCGGCCCAGGCCCCGCAGCTCGCCGGGGTCCCGCGCCTTCGCGTGGCGGCGGCGGAGGCCACTCACCTGGACGCGGGTCCCTCTGTGGCTGGCAGAGCTCGCAGCCGCCCCGCCCCCGCCCCGCAGGCCCGCGACCCACTGACACCGAGGCGGAAGTGCGGCCCGCCGCCTCGCCGACTGACAGTCCGCGCCCGCCACTCGCTGCGCCCGGCGGCGCCGCGTCGGCCGCCGTCCGCCCAATCGGCGCCCGGCCCGAGGCTCTGGCCGGGGGGCGGGACTATGCTAATCCCTTCGCCGAGGAGCCTCTCCCTGTGCCCCTCGGAGCCCCGCCCACACTACGGAGTGACGGTGAGAACAGCCAGTCACAGCAGGAGAGAGGCGGGGTTCTGCAGTCCCTGAGCCAAAAGGGGAGGGAAGGAAGGAGGAAAGGGCGTGGCTGCGGAAAGCCGAGTTTACAAACAGGGAGTCAGGTGGCGCCGGGCGTGGGCTCTTCGCCCGCGGGTGCTCTGCGCCCTGGCGGCGGTGCAGACCTCCAAGGCCCACCCCTCGGCTACCCAAAGCCCTGGGGGCATTTTCCCACAGGTGCTGGGGACCGTGCTATAGCTGGGGCATCGTTGCTCCCACTGTCCTCCCAAATCCTGAATACTGTCTGCCTCCTTTGCATACCATTCACTGCTAACCAAAATCCAGCGCCAATTTACCCACCCAGGTGCATCCCTGACCGTTTCACTACCATACTTAAAACCCTTTGGACTCCCACTGACCTGCAGTGGCTCCACGGTTAAGGCCAGAAGTTCTGGAATCAGACCTGGAGCTGCGTGGCTTTGGACAAATTAACTTCTCTGAGTCTGTGAGCACCCAGAGTTTCATTTGCAAACCACGGTTCCCCTGTCATCATCTCATTTAAGTCGGGTCTGGTTTGAGGTGAGTGGAGTACATGAAACAGGCTGGTTACACAGAGTCGCAGCAGTTGGTTTAAGGGTCAGCCTGTGACCCAGTTCTGACCAAAGCAGCTCAGTCCTGGGACTTTTGCTGTGGGGTCAGAGTTCAGACTAGAGCTGGGGCTGAAGCCAAATGATTCTCCCATCTGCCCACAGACCTCCCCAGAACTGGGTTAGGCGAGAGAGAGATGGAAGTCTGGGGCCACTCTTCCCCATCTCACCACCTGAGGACAGGGCTACAGAGAAGTGAGAATGAAGCCAGCCGGAAGAAAGCAGGAGCAACCCTGGCTGGGTCACGTGGACCCCACAGCGCGTCAGCAGGTGCTGTGCTTGACTTTTCAGTTACATGAACCACATGCTGGCTTCTGCTTCAGCCAGTTTGAGGCAGAGCCAAGAGTCCTGGGCTGCTCGCAGCCTCGAGAGCCCTGGCAATGACCTGTGACTCCGCAGTGCATCCTGCAGCAGAGCCACCCCCTGATGGGCCTCTACACCCCCTCCTCAGGCCTTGTCTCCCCACTTCCAGGCTGCCCTTCGCAGGGCTGCAGGGGCAGTGACAGGCCTTTGCCCTGTCTGTGACCCCGTGGCAGACGCAGGTACTCAATCGGTGTCAGGGTGTGAGTGAGCCAATGAATGTGGCCTCCGTGGCAGGGGTGGGGCCCAGGCGACATCTCTGGGCCCAGCAGGGAAGTTCTCCCCCATCCCAGGGGCTGGACCCACTCACTGGTGGGCCACCGTCAGCCGGTGCAGCTAGAGACGTGCCAGGACTAGGAAGGAGCTGGCTGAGCCTCTCCTGAAGAGAGAACGGGGAGGGGGGTGGGTAGGCCTCAGAAACAAAGGGGTTGCCATGGTTACTCCTGAAGAAAGCGACTCCAGCCACCGAAAGGGAAGGGAAGGCAAGCACCTCCCAAGCCGGGACAAGGACGGTGAGGCCAGTTGCCACGGAGATGACCACGCTCCACAGCTTCCCCTGCCGGCCTGGCCAGGGCCAGCTCAGGGTCCCAGAAACCCACCCCTTCCATGCCCCTCACCCTGAGTCTCTAAGACTCTAACCTCTGTGCCCTTGAGGGGCCCCAACCTGCCCGCCCACCCCTTGACCGGGAGCTCTGCAGTAAGGGCAGCCTCAGAGGCTCAGGCAGAAGGCCCTTCTCATTGCCCAGGGACCACTCCAGGGCCGAGCAGGAAGAACCACCCTGGCCTTGGTGGTGGGAGGTGTGATCTCGGATGGCCCCAGGGCCGGGACAGGGATTCCACCCCTCTTCACAGATGCAGTAACGGAGCTCCGAGGGCAATCTGCCGTCAGCCAGCACTGCGGGATTCTTGCCAGGACTGGACGGGCACTTCCTCCCTGGGGCCGGTTGCCTGGACCAGGTGAGAATCCCTCCTCGGTTGGTGGGTGGTAGGGACGGTGCCTCAAAACCAACTCAGGCACCTGTGTGATGATCTTCACGAGGTCACGAGGCCAGTTCTCCAGGGCTGGACAGTGGGGGTGGAGAGGGCAACGAAGATGGATGAACTGGGGCCGTGATGACGAGGACGACGGTGAGGGCGACAGTGACGAGGATGATGGCGGCTGAGTGCCCTGTGATTTACAGGCCCAGCTGGTTTCATGTTTGCAGCGCCGATCAGGTGGGTACCAGAGGCCATCACTCCGCTCTTCAGATGAGCAGGCCCAGCCCCAGAAAGGTTAAGTGACTCCCCTAGCCCTGCAATGGGAGGGGCCCAGCACAGCTCCAGGCATCGGGGGTCTGGTGGACCAGGCCTGGACCCAGAGCTGGTCCTGGAGGCAGAGCCCCACCCAGGCTCACCGACCGGGATCGCACGTGAACGATGCGCCGTGTTCCCGCGGCTGTGGCTGCTGGACCCCACGCCAGGTCCGCCGGTGGCTGTGTGCGCCACACATGCTCTCCAGAGCTTGAGACCTGCTCATCTTACAGGCGATTTGGGGGTGTCTTCTCCCACTTGCATTGCTCTCAGACCAAATTTCTGCTGCCTGACAGAGTTTCTAGGCCCCTCCCTCTGTCCTCTTTAGCCAAGAAGGGGAGAAGCTATCTCCCTCCCTCACAGTGGGGCAGGTGACCAGTGAGCAGATGTCATGACCCACGTTCCGCCACGGCTGGCGTGCTGGGTCCAGCAGTCCCAGCCACGTCTATGCCATCCTGCTTCCTTTCCTGTCACTGTGAAGGAGGCAGAAGAGAGGTCGTTGCTCCCACCTTTTGGATGGGGAAACTGAGGCTTGGAGAGCAGAAGCAGCTTGCCCAGGGCCTGGCCGCACCGGTCACGCCCACAACCCACCGCCCTTTCCCCCGCTTCACTCTTACCTCTTCCCCCGGTTTCTGGGTCTGGGTTTATCTCTTTATCTGGGTCTGCACCCACAGCTGCCCCATTAGATCAAACAGGGCTTGGCTTCCAGGAACGCCGGGTGCCTTGGCATTGCTGGCCTGGCTGGGAGCTGCTGGCTGGTGAGCCCCGGCTGAGGCTGTCCCCTCTCCCCAGGCCTTCAGAGAGGACATTCTCCCACTCTCTTTTATGGAAAGCCATGGAATCTTCTGTGTGGATGCAGCCTGGGCAGCCAGAGCGGGACCTAGCCCTGGCCCTCACGTGGCTGCAGCTGACCCCTCCCCACTGCAACTCTCCAGTTTCCTCTGCAACGTGACAGCCCTGGCTTCTCTACCGTTGGGAGGAGAGTATTTTTAGTTTTGAACCCACCACGTGAAGCGAGACAAGTTATCAATAGCAGCAGTAAAGGGCTTTTTCTTTCTCTCTCTTTTTTTTCCATGTCTTTGGGACCTGAACAATCTGCACCCATTAAAATCTGCCAAAAGAGAAAAATAGTGTTCCTCTCATAAACTTCTAACCCCGCAGCTCTCACGCTGCGGCAGCGCTGCAGACCCGCTCCTCCTGGGGCGACCCCCTGTCTCCGCAGCCCCCTCCCACTCCCAGCCTCTCAGATGATATCGGCACTGTGACCTGCCCAGGGAGCAGGCTGGTCTGAGCAGAGGGCCGGGGCGGGGCTCAGGCACAGCTCCACAGCAGTCGGAATGAGGAGGCTGCAGACAGGAGAGAGGCCCCAACTTCCCGCTCACGGGGCTGGCCCCAGCCTCCTGAGGGCTTGCTGTGTGCCCAGGGCCGGCCCGAGCTCCTCTGAGCACAGCAGTCTGGGGACGTGTCCCACCCCCTGTGAGGGGAGACAGCGGCCTCTTAGAGGCCTCTCTGACTGTGTAAGTCCTTGCTTCTGCAGGAAGGGGTTCCTCCATTGAGTGGGTTTGAGAAAACTATGTGAACAAAGTCACCAGGCGCCCTCCACAACCTTGGACTTCCCAGAGCCCTTCACTCAGGTGCACGTGGAGACTCCAGGGCCCAGGAAGGGCCTGATGCACACCCTGACATGGGGGATTTGAGCCTTTTTCCTGTGAAGCTTCTTGCAGGACACTGGAGTGGCCTCCTGCCTTGCTGGGAGAAGCATTTGAGCCAACATGGCTGCCTGCCCTTTAGGACTGGTTAGAGCTGTGTTTCTGAGAAAGCTCAGAATAACAGGCTGCAACAAGGTCAAAGCGTACTTTTCTCTCAGGTGACACAAGCCTGGGCTGTCCAGCTGGCAGGGACCATGCATCTTCCAGGATGCGGCTCCTGTTAGTGCTGGCTTCCAGTCTCAGTGTTGCCTCATGGCCCAAAACAGCTGTTGGTACTCCAGCCGTCACAAGCACAACTGACCAGAAAGGAGGAAGGAAAAGAGGGAGAGCAGAAGTGCTGCCCCTGGATGAGTCAGCGCCCTTTGAGGATCTGTCCCTGAAGATACACAAGCACTTCTGCTCACGTCTCACCCGGAACTCCAGCCTGTGCCACTTTTGCTAGGACAGCAGCATTTTGGCTGAGTGCATTGCCAGCCTAAACAACACATGCAGCGGCTGCAGGGAGCAGACTATAGATGGCCCCACAGCCAGGCCTACAGCGTCCCGGGCCCAGAAATGTGGACATCTCTGGAAGTGGCCCGTGAGCGCCCTGCCTCGGAAGAAGCAACAGCCCCAGATGTGAGGCAGAGCGCGCAGCGCACATTCCCTGGCATTCCTGCAGCGTGAGGGCTGCGTCTGGCCCCCCAACCCCAACATGGTGCTGGAACGGCCCACTTCAGTGCAGGCCTGCAGCTTCCCTCCTCCTGGCTGCACCCTGGCTGATGGAAAGTGGGTTCCTGCTCCCTCTCGAAATGCCTGTTAAAAACTCGCTGCACTGCTGGCCCTATCCTGGGCAGCAGGGTACCTCCGTGGCCAGGGCACAGACCCCAGAGGCCGCTAGGCAAAGGGCTTCCCTAGCTTGGGAAAGTGGGGGACCCTGGGGACATCTGTGCCCTTCCTGAGGGCCTGTTTAGGGTGGGCAGGATGTGGGCACATCCCTTTGGGGAACGGGAGGGACAAGTGGGAGCTGGAGGAGAGACAGCTGGGCTGGGTTAGATTTAACTTGCTGCAGGAGCCAAGTGCGTTGGCCGGAGCCACTGGCTGGGTCTCAGTGCCAGGGGATCTGCCAGGCACGGGGGTGGGAGGGGCAAAATTTAAATATGCCTGGGGAGCCAAGATGGGGGCAGAGATGGGGCTCAGGATGAGGAGCCTTGAGGTGCCTGTGGGTGGTGAGGTTGGTTTCTCTTCGGGAATAATCTACAGGGCACGCTGGCCCCTTGGCTGGAGCTGGGGGCAGGGGTTGGGTAAGAGACAGCCAGGCATATGGGGTCCTTCTGGGGACGTGTGTGCTCCCCCAATTGCATCCCTGGGAGAGGAGGTCAGGGAGCGAGTGGAGGAGATGGCTGGGGTCTGTGTGTCAGGGGTCACAGCAGGGTACTGCACACTCAGCCCAGTCCTCACGGGCATGGTAGAGAGGGGTGACCCCAGAGGCCAAGCTGCCCCACCAGGAGCTTCATGTAGGGCTCACAGCACCCAGCCTGGGCGGTCACATGGCACCGAGGGTAACGCACCGCTCTGCCATGGCTGCCATGAGATTCTCCGTCGTCTTGGGGCAAGGAGCTCACATTCTCATTGTGCGGAGGAACTGGTAAATTCTGCAGCCATCCTGGGTGAGGAGGGTGCGGTTCAGGACACCCGGCCCACAGGGCTTCAGCAGTTGCGTGCAGCCGGCTGGGTGACGCCATCCCTGCCCAGCATGGTGACAAACCAGGCGAGCAGGCTGGGCCTGTTCTGGGGAAGAGATGGAGGGGCTGATAAAAGGCCTTGTGCTGGGCTCCTGTGCCTGGTGCCAGCCTGTACAAGCTGAGGGAAGGCAGTCTGCCCAGGAGTCGCATGGCCCAGGGCTGGGAGATCCCTGGGGCCAGGGAGGAGCATGCTGGCTGGTGCTCCCATCCGCTGGCTGACTGCAGGAAATAGGCATTCAGTAACGCCCAGGGCATCTGCCGGAAGCGGGTGCAGGTTGATCTGGGCAGATGTCTGGGGGCTGGGGTGGAACTGGAGCCCATGGGGTCTAGGCCCGGCCTTTTGCTGATGGAGGTCCTAGGTGGGCCACAGAAGCATTCTGAACCTCAGCTTCCTTTGGTGAGGCTCAGAGGAGGCAGAGCAAGGGAAAGCCCTTTGAAGGGTGCGCGGGCATTGCCAGGGCTCTGCCCAGCATCCACCACATCTAGGAACAACCCCAAATCCTCCTCTGGAATCATCCATAGACTGTTACTAGACTAAGCCCACCTCTTGCTCCAGACAGGGGCGCCTGGGACCTGGGCATCACTCATTGCCTAGGGAGAATCAGGCACATGGTACTTGGGTCCTTCATGGACCCAAGGTCTGAGCTGGGATGTCAGCCTGGAGGTGCCATGCCAAGGGTAAGGGCTGCCCGAGAGGACTGAGGCTGAAGTGAGGACACCAGTTCTATTGATAGCTGTCGGACTCCTGGATCCAGCCATGCCTGAAGGAGAAAGCACCACCGGTGGACTCTCAGATGCATGCAAGGTTTCCATCCTGGTACCTGAAGCGTCCTGAGCCATCCGCCCAGCTCTCCACACGGGGAGAGGACAGCCACCTGTCCCAGAAGGTCTCTGACTCCCTCCTGTCCTCATCAGGGCACTCGGGTCTGGGCTCGCCCTTCAGAATGGCACACAGGTGGGCACTCAAGACACACACCAAGGAGCCCCCGATGTCTTTCCACCACTGGCTCATCCAGTGCTGCACAGGTGGGACACAGCCCAGGGAGGGGTCACCCAGGGACCTCGCCACACATCCCTTGGGCACTCCCATCTCTGTTGGATCAGCCGAGCAACTTCAGAACAAGCGAGGCAGATCCAGACGAAGGTTGGGCGGGCGTAGGGAGGGGGCAGGGGATGCACCAGGGTAACAAGTGCCGGGGATGTGGACAGCACTTCCCCTGGGCATGAGGGGAGCCCAGTGGGCCCCACTATGCTCTGCAAAAGCACCCCCTGGTCTGGATCTAGGAGCTGCGCCTCCGTCGTCCTCCATCAAGGTCCGGTGCTGCCCCTGCTCATCCCTTGATCTGACCCGGGACCTCAGGCTCAGCTGCAGCCAGGACGCACCATGCCGCTGTGCTGTGGTCCGAGGACAGCTACACGAGGCCACCAAGCCCCTCCGTCACGGGCACTGCCCCTGCTCCCTGGACAGCCCAAGCGGACAGCTTGCTCCCTTGCTTTCTGGCTGTGTGTGGAAGTGTGTGTAACAGAGTGTGTGTGAGTGTGAATGTGAGTGTGGAAGTGAGTTAGTGGAGTGGAAGTGTGTGTGAGAGTGTGGAACTGGGGGAGTGTGTGCACGTGTGTGGAAGTGAATGTGTGTGTGTGAGTGGAAGTGTGTGGAACTGGGAATGTGTGTATGAATGTGCTGAGTGTAAGTGTGGAAGTCAGTTTGTGTGTGTGTGCATGAGTGGAAGGGTGTGTAGAATATGGGGAAGTTTGAGAGTGGAAGAGTGTGTGTGGAATTGGGGACAGAGTGTGTGTGGAGTGTGTGAGTGCGTGTGTGTGTGTGAGTGCATGTGGAATGGGAAAACGTGTATGTTTGTATGTGTGTGAGTACGTGTGTGTGTGGAATGGGGAAGTGTGTGTGTGTGGAATGGGGAAGTGTGTGTGTGTGAGTGTGTTTGAGTATGAGTGGGGGGAGGTGTGGAGGCAGCAAGTGACAGTGATTTGTGCCCAGATGCAGGGGAGGGGTGTTGCCTCTAGAGCAATTCTCAACCCCCACCCTGGTTCAGGGCCTTGCGGAGGGAAGGGACCATTTCTCTGACCCTGACCTGTCTCTTACAGGGCAGAAGGGGACCATGTCAGTTTCCTCCTGACACCTCTGTCACAGCTCACACCAGACACCCTCAGACACACCCACAGACAGACCCACAGACGCATGTGCAAACACACAGACCCACAGAGAGCTCAGAGACACACGCACAGACAGACTCGGATGCACATAGATGTGTACATTGACAGGCACCAACACAGATGCAGGCACGCACACTCAGGCACCAACACAGACGCCGGCATGCACACGCAGGCATCCCCTGCCCGCTCTTTTAGACGCCCTCTTCTTTCTCCCCCAGAACCCAGGGGCGTCCGCACTCACTGGATCCCGGCCCCAGCACTGATCAAAGCTGGGTCCGTTTTTCTGGCAGGCACCCGTTCCCCAGGAGCGTCCCTGGATATGGGGACTCCAGGGAGCCAACAGAGAGGGCCGTCCTCGCCCCCATCCTCGTCCTGCCTCCTGTCCTCGTAGGGCCCAGACTCCGCCTCCAGGATGAGGCTCCCTGAGCCCACCTACACTGCTTAGCCCCTCCGCCCGCCCGGCGCCTCTTCCCGGTCTTCTGCAGGGAAAGAAGGGCCAGGGAGGAGGGATCAGG